CAAAATCTTGTTGCAATGATTTCCTCTAGAGCTTTGTGCCACGCTTTCATTTAGTGTCAACCCTTCATTCATCAAATGTCTATAAAGCCTGTACCTTGTGGTCACCTGTATGAGGATTGAAAGACATGTTAATCTTTCCAGTACCCAAAGAACTTCTTGACTGTTAACTCCTGTATTTCTAAGTGCAAGAGCAGAAATATGTGAAATCAGATGGAATTACTCTTGCATAGCACTTCTTGGACTGAGGGCAGGGGGATGAAAACTAGCATCCCATTTTGTACATGCTCACAGCAGCACAAAAGATGAGGCAGAAAACCTGAGCTGTAGTGGAAAATAGTGAAGGGCCATTTCTATTAAACTTGTACCTGAAGAGTTGTTCTGAGCAATGGCAACTACTGCTGGAATAGAGGAAACTGTTTATGGATGTTAACTCTGAGTGGTCTTGTAACTTAGACAGAAATGTGATATCCCATCTGCACAGGTAGAAGTGTGAAGCAGCAGTCTCATAACAACTGAACATTACTACACCAATCTCTCAAAAATCATTGCTCATACAAAAAAGTTAAAAAGAAAAAAATAAATTGGTTCATGAAAAACCATGTTTCCTACCATATACCTGGCTAGTAGTAAGTAAGGTTAGGAATATGTTTTTACATTAACAGGCATTAAAATGATTGACTGTTGATCGTGGCCATGTTTTTCCTTTTTCTGTAGTCTTAACTGAGCACCCGTGTCCCAAGTGTTCAGAGCAGGGGCACAGAGACTTAGCTGTGCATGCAAGCCTGGTAAGTGTAACACAGGTTCTTGGGAAGGCTCCATAAGGACTTGGAAGGGGTGTTTGTGAGCCAGTGCCTCTACTTCTCAGCAGCAATCTAGTGGCAAAACATTATGGCGGAGTTTCTAAACCAGTGAAATTGTTCTAGAGCAATGAACTGTACCATAGTATCCAATAGTACAGTCCAGAAATTTGATCTTAGGAAAATCACCTTTGGAGAAATAAGTGAGTAGAAGGAAATAATGGACACAGCTAAACTCTGGGTACAGTATATAAAAAATGGTGTTAGGAAAAAATGGTTTGGTATCAGTCAGTAATGTGAGTCTCCCTAATGCTTCTTTTAATTCTCCTGTAACTGAATGATGTTTTCTGTACTCTGTGTAGCAGACGGGTGGACACAGTAACATATTCAATACCAGGCTGAACACTTTCTGCCAAATAAGAGGCACGTTTGGCCATCTCATGGGAGAGGGTAAATGGGGACACAGGATCTTTGCAAGGGAAGCAGTTCCCCAATGTTACCTTCTCTGTGCCTCCCCCTGCAGAATCCCATTCAGAGGATGAGCTCCAGCTTGGCAGCCTGGCTTCTAAGTGCTGCCACACCTGGCTGGATACCAGGTCCCTCCTCCCCTGCCTGCTTTTTGCTGTGCAAAAAGGCACTGCCAGGTGGCTATAGCTGTCCTCTTTTCTTCTTTCCTTTTGGCTGGAGCTGCCATCTGACCAGAGGGGTAACATGGGGAAGGCTGAACCCTTCCATGACCTGTTTGGGGCTATAATTGCATAGCCCAAAACTGAAAAGACAGTTGTCTGTCGTGGCTCACCAATGCTTTTGGTGAAAATGCTTGACATTCTATCATCCAACTACAGAGCAGATTAAATGACTGGCACTATTTTGAAGCATCTTTTATTTTCTAGTTTGCTATCAACAATTAGATACATACAGATTTTGCGACTACCCATTATATTCCTTTCTGAATCTTCTAAGAAGACAAAAACAAGACCAAAATTATCCCTTCTTTATTAAAGGCATTAAAAAACCCCATCCTGACAATCACAACCCCAAAACCTATTGGATTATGTATTTTTATAGAAATTGATAAATTGGTACGTATTGCCTTAGGTATGACAAAGTTCCTAAACCTTTTTAAACTTAATGTTTGTAAGCTATTAACAAACCATGATTCAGTAATGCAGTGGAAATAGCATAGCTAAAAAGGAAGTAACTTGCCTCCTTGGCAGAATTATTGTTACCTTGTGTGTAGGAAAAGCCTTCATAGCTGGCTGCCTTTACTGCAATCACTGGTGCACTTTTTTTCCCCAGGATATCCCATTGTTTGCCACTCTCCTTCCTCAATCATTTTTGTCATGCTTTTGGATGCAGGAACTTTTTCCGGTTAAATGTTTTGTGCAGCACCTAACAAATTTACCATTCCACCCTGGATAATGCTGTAAATACCTAATGAGAACACATCTCTGGCAGTGTAAATCTGGTGCAGTTACCCTGTTTTTTGAAGCCATTGCTCTGCACTGACACTTAGTTGGGTCTGACAGCCGCAGGTCTCTTGCTCTCCCTTTTGAGAGAAGGACCTACTATTTTGGGAGTTATTTCTGCCAAAATCTGAGACCTGTAATCCTACTAACATCAGAAGGAGAGGAGAACATGCAGCTCTTGGCAGCAGCAAGCCCCACTAATTTCTGCACTGCCCAGAAATTAACTTCAAGAGTCTCAAAATTGTCATTAAAATTCAATTGTTTCCTTCACATTTAGACATCCGCCCATGGAAAAACACCCATTGTGTAACTTCTCTCCCTCTCCCTGGAGGATGGGAAGGGAGCCCTAATGGTGGCTGAAAAGACAGAGGCAAGAAAATGAGCTTACCTTGCTGCCCTAAAGTTAAGCAGTAATCCAAATGGCACCAACACTGAAATACCCAATAATTTGGATGTAGAATTTCATTGCTAAAGATTTCACACTGGTTGTGCTGCTGTCCTGGTTATATAAACAGCTACAACTTTCTTTTTTATTTTCTTGGTTTTTTCCCCCCTCTGTATAATATGACTAAAATGCCATGGAAAAATGCAACTTCTCAATTTTTTAATTTGAAATTGAAGATTGGATTCTCAGCTGGTGTAAATTGGTATGCCTCCACCGGGCTTTCACTGGTTGCATATCTTGTTTCTTGTCTGTGGCTCTGACCAGGTAATTACCAAATAAGACCATACCATAACATTCACATAGAGTAATGAAATTCAGGGATCTGACTGAGGTTAGGCAGCTAAATATAAGTAAATGCCTTGGTCTGTGGAATAAGATCTTTTCACTTTTCTCATAGTTTTCCATCATGAACAACTGGATTAAAACTGGTGTTCCCTCCTTCTCATCGGCCTCTTGGCCATCTGCTGAGGCCTGCTGGTGTAAGAGGAAGAATGAGTTCAGTATCACATTTCACTCAGGGGTCTAGAAATGAGCATCCTTAATGCGCACCAAATGAGCTAAATTACAGGGGAGTGTTTCCAGCAGGCATTCCAGGGCTGTGAATACAGCCTGGGAACCCATGGGCCAGCATGCTTTGTCACCCCGGCTGATGCTTAGAGAGGCCTCCCTATATGCTCCTGTACACCATTTTCTACCTGTATCTATCCCATCTTTGCAAGCACAGCTCTTTGTGTGTGCCTGGGGATGTACTGACGCATTCTGAAAAGTCAGAAGACTCACTGAACTCTTAAAGCTGGATAATGTCAATGGGCTTCAAGCAGGGTCTAGAGGCAGTTGAGGTCCTTCCATCCAAAATTATTTAGGACCCAATATTGACCTATCCATCTTTTAACTTAATGTGCCAGGTGAAGCCGTGCAACCTCAGGGAAGATAATGAATACAAACAGTGTTGGGGTTCCATAATGGAGTGTCTTGGATGCTTTCTTCTCTACTGCAATAATATCAGTTCCTCTGTCATTATATAAAAAAGAACACTTGGAGAATTCAAGTTCAGGGATGAAGGGTTTTGTGTTTGCTCTTCTTCCAATCTAAAAACTATTCATTCTATGCATAGGCTGCTTCCACTCTCCTTTTGAAGATGTACCATCAGTATTTAAGGTTATTCAGACAAGAGAAGGGAAGCAGCAGAGAGCATGACTGTAGCCTCCTGTGAAAACATTGAATTATGTGGGATAATCCTGGATTTCTGGCTTCCAGGACTCCTTTAGCACTTACACATTAAGAATAAAATACATTAATGGACTTTTGAGAATTCCTGAGATATGACCTTAATCATAGATAGAACTTATCTGCCATTAAACATAATACCTTCCTGACAGCCACCTCCTGCAACCTTTGGCATTGAGATCTGTTTGGAAAAGCAAGAGGCATTCTGGAAATCTTGTAGTGAGTACCTGCAGCCCCAGGAGTGGGGCCCATCACGTACACTTTCCCCAGTGTGCTGCCTGTCCCTTGCACATGCGGCATGGCTGCTTTAGTGCAGACTGTTAATCGCTTGTTGGTTTAATATTTGTGCAGTGTGTCAAAGGGGAAAGGGCTTAAATTCTGTTTGCATTTTAAATAACTGTCTTGGCAGTTGCACAATCCACAGTGTTTATGTTTTTATGGAATGCACCATTTGTGACTGTTGTTTTAAGAAGTGCAGATATTAAACATGGCCAAGCAGGTTCTACAGTGGGTCTGGCCTGCACTGGCTGTCAAGGGCATTTGGAGAGGTGCCACTTAGCACTGCACAGTTTGCCTGCCATGGATTGGCATATTATAACTTGGTGATGGCAGTTTGGCAACTTTTATCTCTATCAAGCAAGCCAAATTCTGATCCTTTTACTTAGAGCTAGTTCAAATTCCTCTGATACTAGACTCAACTCTTTTAAGAAGCCAGATGGGAGAAACTAAGAGGTGACCTTATTCTGAGTAGACTTGGATCTCACATTAGTTAAGGGCCCCACCCTGAATCCTGATCTCTGATAAATTAACTTTTTAATGTTTCATTTAATGTTTCATTACTGACTTTGGCACAAGCCAAATGTCTACGCAGATATTTATGTTCCAACAGACAAATGCAAGCTCATTTTTTTCTTCTAAGTATGTTATGTTTTACAGACATGAGTAACTCATGTGGGATCTTTCCCACAGAGTAAAACCAATGTAAATTCGCATGACTCAGGGATTTGTTTCAATGCTCATGTATAAGCTCTCATTAGAAATGATTATGCTTGAAGATCAAAAGAAAGTACACTCACTTGTATTAATGTTTAATGCATAATTCACATTGTTAGAACAAAAAACAAAACAGTCAGTGGTTGTTACGACAAATATCAAACATTGGCACTACTAACCAACTCCCAGAGAGGATCCTTCATTGCCTGGCATTGGCTGAGCGCTGAGATTTCCTCTTGCGTGTGCTGTGCCAATCGTCTTGGGGATTTAGGACACCTTCCCCTCTGGATGAGTAATGCCCCTGTAATGACAGGAGTGGGGGAGAGCCTGGATACCCCAGCACTGCAGATGGATCTAACACTCAGAGGTCTCTCAGTGGGAGCAGAGTGCACAATAATCCAATTCATTTTTTTATTCAAGCAGGATTTCAGATCAGGCATGCTCCTATAAAACTCTCATTGCCTTCAATCTGAGTTTAATACCAGGCTTAATATTTGAGCCTTAATATCAAGACCCATGGTCAAAGTCATTCAGCACCACAGAATTTAAGCACTTGATTTCTTGCTTATGTTTGTCCATGTTTACCTTCTTCAGTCAATGCTTATTTTTTTACCAGAATTATTCTTAATTAAATAAACAGGTTTGGCATAAGGGAGTTGTAGATGAAATCCATTCCCTATATCCTTAACCAAGACAAGCACAGGAGGGCAAAGCCATGCTTGTAATCACAAAATGAGAATCCTGTGGGCATCCTTGCCTGTTACACAGAGTAGCTGGGACTACTTTATCTGTGTAAGGGAAGACTCCAGGTTACCCTCTGTAATGTGTGACACATTGCAGTCCTTGACACAAAGTAGAAGTTGGATTTTTTCATCTTCATAGCTTTTAATGGCTATTCCTATGTCAATGTTTAAAGGGTCAGCAGTTTGTATCATTTGGCTTTTATATTTATGCTTCTTTTAAAAAATTGGCTTGTTTACTACCAGAGTTTACATAATTTCTACCTCATCTAGTTTTTTTTTGGTTCCATCCCCTCCCCCCTGCCATCTCCTTTGACAAAAGCAAACCAACAAACAGTCTTAAGTTTAAAGTTTAGGAGGCTTCATTCACATTAGAGAGTCACCTCCCTTCCATGGATGTCTGTGGCACGGAATGACGCTGAATGACATTTGACAAACTTTGCGCTTGGCACAAGGTCACAAAACACCTTATACATTCTCATTATCAGTTCAGTCACTTTCCTGTATTGCCAGTGATGCAATACACCGGATTCAGAGCAGAGGCAGAGAGCCTGCCTGGGTTTTAGGTAGTTTCTCCCTGATTCAGACCTCTGTAAGCAAACTATAAATTAGCTCTCCATTCTTAAGGTGCCTCCTGAAGGCCCTCTTGTTCTGCAAACCCTTCTGTGTGAGTCTGTGAGGTTCCTCATTCAGGAACTAATATTGCTGAGTCAGACTGGGTGCTATTGCTATGAATGGAATGCAGTCAAATGGATCGTGGATGTCTCAGAGGGCAGAGTAGAGCTTTGGTGTTTGTTTACCTTTTGTTTGGAACAACCCATTCAAAATATTTACGATTGAGAAGCTGGTATTTCTTCCAGTAAAGAACCTTTTCTCCTCTTTAGGGCAGTTGAGAATGTATTTAGAGTATATACTGGTTAAATTGTTTATTTTTAGTGGAGTGCACAAGGCATTGCTATCTTGAAACTGATCATAAATACATTTCTGTTGTGGGGAATTTCGTTGAAGAAGAAAAACCTGTAATGAATTAAATATGCTTCATGAGAGAAGAAGTAGGTCAAATGTTGGGCTAAATTAACCTCATGTTATACAAAATGACTAAATTCTGTTGTTTTCACCTGTGGGACTCTGGACTCGTCTACACACAAAGTTATTTCAAGACACTTATTAGGTACACTGCAGTAATTATGTTCGACTAAACCCATGTGTAGACAACTCCTGCGCCAGCATAAGAATTCAGTTTCTTGAATTACCTTAATCCACTTTGAAAGTGGATTAAGTGAAACCAGGAAACAACTCGGTCATTCCAGAATGAATAAACTGAACACAGTTCTGCTTTACATTCACATCCGACCTTATTCCAGCATAATTTTCCTGGGCTGAGAGGTTCTTAGGATATATCTACATGGCAAATTAATATGTGATTACAGACACACCAACTCCTCCTTTACTCTCACTGGCATGAGTAACAGCAGTAATGAAAGATGGTAGCACAGACTCCAGTACAGCCTATTAACTGGAGCATATATATGCAGCTGGTTGTGAACAGCCTCTGCTGAAATCCACCTGAGCACACCCTCACTTCAGACTCAACTCACACCCCTTAGACTGACACAGGGGCTGGGAATACCTCTCTGCATCTCAGGTGTGTATGCACACCAAAAACTGCATGTGTGATAGCACTGCACATCAGAGCTAAATGGGAACCAGGTGAATTTCACTTCAGTGGTTAATCATGCTGGAGAAGCAGCATGGCTCGCACATTTTTAATATACACACCTCTGAAAACCAAATAAAGCGTCAGCTGTGTGACTGCAGAAGCCAAATTAAATGTGCTGTAGACAAGCACAACTCAGATGATTTCACTAGGGCTGGATTTGGCTTCATAGTTGAGATCTTGCTTATTTGGCTGATACTTGTTTTGTTACCTATCTGCTCATTTATTTTAATGAAATTAATGCATTTTAATGTTCCTTTAAGTGCATTCCAAAAATAGCAATTTGATTAACTCATGTGCTTTTAAAAGTGTGACAATCACAATGAAAAATCTCTGTAAGCTGAGGTAGGGTGCAATTTTAAGTAGCATCTTGAGTAGCTATGCCATACCCTTCACCCCTTCAAACAAATTCCTAACATCAATCAAAAGAGCTTCACTTAAAAATGAATGGCGAAACACAGACAAAAATCAAGCTGTACACACTGCTTTTCAAGTCTACCAAAAACATGTATCAGTAATATGCTCTGCTGAGACAGTAAAGACAGGTAAGAATTTAGACTAAAAGCAGTTCAAAATGATTCCAGAACAGAAACGTGTAGCAAACTTGTCTTTCTAGCCAAGCCAGAAAGCATCCTGAGTAGCTTGGGTTTAAAAAGAAAAAAACCTACAACCCAGTGCTTTCAATTTCAGGCTTCTGAAAATGATGCTTGGACTGTAGGATATTCCAAGAATGATTTCTTTCTTCCCCAACTCTTTTCCCAGCTGCAGTAGGTGATCCCACCATAGCTGCTGCTGAGGGCACTGAGCCCAGCAGCAGGAAAGGTGTACACTAACTTCTCCCCGACTTTATCGCCTTATAAAAACTGTAATTGCAAAACCTGAGTAGTAACAATATTAAGCAAAGGCAATTTTTCCTTTTATTGTATTTAAATGAGGAAAATTAAAGTATTAATGCTAATATTAAGGCTGAACAGAGGCAGTTGCAAAAAAAATAATTTAGTTTCAGCCCTGCTACATGATTCCCTTCACAGACTCTGCTGCGCTAGTTACCTGTGCATTGGTGATGTTGTAACTTGCTGTTATTATAATAGGTGGTGTGAAAAGCAACACAGAAGAGGGAAACTTGTCTCAGGGCTCTGCTGGGACGCTCTGCGGTCACTGAGTAGGTAGTGTGGTGGTGCTGCAGCAGTTTGGGATGCAATGTGTGGGTAACAACTGGTTTTTAGATGAGGCAGTTAAACTCAGGCTGCCACGGATAGTTCAAACGAGGCCTAGTTCTAGGAATACTTTTGCAGGCGAGTTAAGTCTCACACGTGAAAATGCCCTCGGAATTTAGTGGGAGCGTTCATGGAGATTTGCAGGATCGGGCTTTGCGAAGCACACGAAGCCAGGGCAGCGGATGCGTGTGGCCGCTGCCATGGCCGGGCACAGCGCTGCCAGCCTGCTCGGCGCTCACAGCGGCCCCGGGGCTGCCGCAGGCCCGGCTGGCCCTGCTCTTAACGCGAATCCTCCCTCTTTGGGGAGCAGCTGCTCGGCTGCCCCAGCAGCGGAGGTGGGGAGCGATGGCTCGGGCTCCCCTCACCGAGCCGCGCCAGGCTCTGCGCCAGCCCTTGGCTCTCCTCGGCGGCGACGCCATTGCGCAGCCGGCTGCCCCGGTGAGGCCCGGGCTGCCCTGCTCGCAGCCCCCCCGGGCACCCCGGCTCCCGGCGGGGCCGTGGGGCGCTGTGCGCCGGGGGCTCCCGCACCTTCCCCTGCAGAGCCTTGCAGGGGATTGGGGGGAGCGCGGCGCCGGGCCTGCACGGCAGCTGCGGTGCGGCATCCTCGCTCCTCGCCCGGCCTCCTCTGGCATTCCTTTTCTATTTTTTTTTTTTTTTAATTTACTGATTTTGTGTGTGTGTGTGCGGTGCCCGTTGCCCCGCCCCCGCCGGCCCTCGGCACATGGCCTGCTGGCGGCCGGTGGCGCGTGTGTCCCCGCGTCCCCTGGGCGAGGTGTCCCGTCCGCCGCCCGCATCCCAGCCGTGGGCGGCCGGCACCTTCTCTCTCTCCCCATCCCCCCTTTTCGGCAGTCGCCTTTTTTTTTTGTTGTTCTTGTTGGGTGGGTTTTTGTTTTGGTTTTTTTTTTTTGTGGTTTTGTTTGTGTTTTTTCCAGGTGGGACGTGGCGGTGACCGGCGAGGCTCGCCCGGCACTGAATGTCACCCTGAAGGTAAAATGAAAGACACGGAGATGAACGCATGCCTGCGCCCCGCGCCGCCGCTCCCCCGCGCCCGCCGGCGAGCGGCCGCCACCATCGCGGGGCGGCAGCCCCCGCCGCGCCCCGGATTTCCTGTCCCGGCTTTTCGTTACTGCGCCTTAAAAAACCAAAAAAATTAAAAAAAAAAAATCCGCATGCGAAAGAAACGTGCACGTACCCGGTAACGAGCCCAGGAAAAACCCGGCCGCTTCCCCCTGCTCCTGCCAAGTTATCATTGGGAACACAGGCAGGCGCCGTGACGTCCCGGGTCAGGCCGAGTGCGGACCGGCGCTACCAAGGCGGCAGGGAGGCGCGGGGACGCTGCCGCGGCCGGGGCCGCGGGGACCGGGGCCGCCGCCGGCCGCCCGCCGCCGCTGTCCGCCCGCCGGGCCGCGCCCGCCGCCGCCGCTGCCCCCCGCGCCCCCCGCGCCGCCGCCGCGGCGCCGCTCGGCCTCCCGCCCGCCGCTGGCTCCCCCCTCGCCGGCGGAGGTCGCGGGAGCCCAGTTAAAGGAGGCGTGTGTAAAGATTTTGCAATGTCCCTGCATGGTGTTGTAGACTTTCCTAGCAAAGAAACCGGCTTCGGCTTCTTTAAAATCCCCGACGACTCACCTGATTAACCTGCCTGCGGTTCTGAGCTGACCAGGTAAAGCGAGCCCCCGCACCCCGCACCCCCCCGCACCCCCGCCAGCTGACATTGCATGGGGGGCATGTTTGTGCTTGGAGATGAGCCGCTGCCAGGAGCGCTCTGCCCCTCCACCCCCCCGCCCCATTCCACCTTCAGCCCTTGCCAATTGCACTTGCTCAGAGTCATTCACCCCCAAAAAATCCTGCTTTGGAAAAAGCGGCACGGCAGCACCGGCCACCCGGGGTTCAGTGGCTCTCGCCTCTCGGACAATTATTTAGAATTACTGGCCCTGGTGAATATGGGGGGGTGGGGGGTGGGGGGGGGGGGGGGGAGAAGGGAAGGAGAATGATTTTTTGGCTGCTGACAGATCTGCCCTGCAGGTTTTGTGTGTGTGTGTGTCCCCTCCCGCCCAGGGTCAGGAGTGCCGGGAAAGTGACGAGGCTTTAGCCAAGCAAGAGTTTAGGGCCGGGGTCCCGGGGTGGCTGCGAGCGGAGCAGGGGCACCGGACTCTGCCAGCCGGTGCCGGGGCGCGCTGCCGGGTGGCTGTGGCGCGGCTGCCCATGCCGCCCTGCCCCCCGCCGTGCCCTCACGGCAGCCCCGAAGTGTCCCGGCCGCGGCGCGGGGCGAGGCCGGCGGGGGGGCCCCTCCTCGTCCCCGTCCCCTTCCCTCCCCCGCCGCTCGCTCCTTCCTGGAACACTTGTGCGGGAGCGGAGCAGGCCCGGGGGAGCCGTGCCCGCCGGGCGGGGGTCAGGGCGCTGCGCTGCCGGGCGGGAGCGGCGGCGTGGCCGCCCCACGCGGGACGCGCTCCGTGCCGGGTGTCGGGACCCGCGGGCGGACGCGCGCACACAAAGGCGGCGGGGCCGCGCCGTGCCGGGATCAGGAGGGGCGAAGGAAAGTGTGCAAAGTCCACGGACTGCCCGCTCCTCCTGGCACTTGGCCCTCCCAACGCCGGCCGTGGGCGAGAGGGGGCATTTGGGGGAGCGGCTGCCTGTGGGGTCTGAGTGTGACCTGGCGGTGAAGAATTTTTTTCACTTTTGTAATTTTTTTTAAAATTAATTTTATTTTTTATTTTCCCCTGGTCATTAATGCCATGAAGGCATGACTGGTCTGGAGGTACATTTTGAAGTGCTGCAGGGGATGCACTCTGTCTACTCGTTCTAGTTAATATGTTTTTCGTGATCCCGGAAAAGAGAGGACTGCATTTAAGAGATGACTAAATAATGGGGGAGGCAAGTAAAAATGAGTAGAATATAAAGGAGACTAAAATGAAGGTGAATGGTAGTGTGGGAAGGCAGGCACTGAGCAGCTTGGGTTTCTCTCCTTCCCCTGTATTGTCCCACTGCACCCCTGTCCCTGGAATCCTGTCTTTTGATACTATTAAGGGTATTCTAACAGTAAGCATAGCACAACAGAAAAGCAGATTACAACCCCCCCTGTCTCCCCCCCGCCCCCCTGCACTTCAACCTATCAGTGTCTGTGAATGGGAGGGAAATCCATGTGCCCTTTGTAAAAACCTACCAAAGTTTTAGGCATTTATTAGCTACCCTGTTTAAAATACAACATACAAAACTTGCTTGATACATTTCATTGTTACTCCCCTGTTTTATTTCAGAGGACAAAATGTTCTAGTGTAGCATGCCTACCCTCACTTTGAGAATGGGAGTAGTTTACAATATAACCTACATTAGATTATACATGGTGCGTGCATTGCATTTCCACTGAAAATAGTCAAAGACTTAAAATGACAAAGCGACTCATATGGTATGATTATGATCTTCCTTGTCTTGGGAGCATCAGGGTAGCTGGGGTTCAGCGTGCTGGGAAGGGGGGGCTCCGTGGTGTGAGGTGTTTCATGTCAGTACAGGAATATGGCAAGTCTCCTTTTAGAGGACTTTAAAAATGTGCCGGGGGCAGGAGAAGGTAAGCACGACATTCAGTGTGCTCATTATCAAAATAAGGAAAACAAATCAATTGCATTAACTGTCTGTGCAGTATCACAGTTATTCCACAGTATTTTGTCAGAAATTAAAAGGTTACCACTAGAGTACTATATCCATATCTCCAGCCTGGCACCACTTATTACTGCAATGGTATTTCAATATTAAGTGATCTTAGAGATATTTCGTCTTTCATTTTGAATCCCGAATTTGAATCGGCATTAGGATGTCAGGGCTGTGAGATAAGGTATAACAAACTAAGTAGACAGCTGAAGGGCTCCTGGTGAAGGTGTTGCTGAGAAGGATATCTTGGGCCGTTCGCAGTAACCTTGTTTACAGGGACATTTGAATTGCAACCTGAATTTCAGCGAGAGGCTGCCTGGACTAATGCCTGCGTGTCTGAAGCCCATCACGAGTGTCTTTTGCACTCTAAACCTTCTCTCTGCCTTCCTTGCATAATTGTAAAAACTTTTTTGGAAGGTTAGGATGATTTTCTGATATGAAAATTAAGATGTTTTCCTAAGAGGAACACTGCTCTTTGAACTCATTTACATTAGCAACAAAGTATTCATGAGGTTTGATTTTTTTTTTTTTTTTTTTTTGGTTCTCTGATGTGGCAGGATCAGTAGTTGCACCAGTCTTTTTAACTTCACGAATATGGCTTTGATTTATTATATTTTAGCCTCGGTGGTTTCAAATGTATTTTGCAGCACATGAAGTCGGTTCAAGTCAGAATGTGAAAAAGAGGCATATAGTAGCAAGGAACATTTTTGTAGTGATCTGCTAATTTTTTGTTTTCTTTTCCTAAAGCTGTTCCAGGAAAATCACGTGAATTTAGCGAGTGGGTGCTAAATGCCAGCAGCCACACTGATGAAGAAAAATGCTGTTGAAATACTTTGGAATAATAAATAGGATATGTAATGGTCAACCACAAGATAAACATTTTACACGGTGTTTTTATGGCTCTAAATTGGCTGCATTGTAAACCAAGCTCGCTACTCTATTAAGTCATCAGAGTTTTCAATTATTTAAGATTTTCAGTCAGGCCATCTAATACAGTCTTCATCATCCCCATCAGAAAATTATGCATAAGGTTTTAATTCCTTGTTGTTGCTATGTGAAGGCTTTGTTGTGGATGGGGGTTTAATTTTGTCTTACAAGGACAAATATTACAAAGCCCGCATACAGGAAAAAAAAGATATGGAAATAGCTCCAGTCCTACGAAATGGGGATAGTTATGGCACTGAAATGTACCTAATACAATTTGAGATCCACTCACTAAGAAACCTTGACAGTATCTGCCTTGCAGGTACCGTGCATTTGGAAATACTATATCTCCATTTAAATGCAGATCTTCAGTTTTCTCCAGGGGGCAGTTGGCGAATCTTTCGATTGAACCACTGGTACTAGAAAAACTAACTGAAGATTTACCCATGAACAAGATGCCCTTTCAAGTCTGCTTTTTTGAAATAATGATTATAAAATTTCCTAATATTGCAATTTTATATTGATTTTGAATGCCTTTTCAGAAGTCACAGAGAAGGAATAGTGCCTTTTACTCAAGGTAGGCCGATGTCTGCATGCTTGTTTAGCAATCCTAACAGAAATAACTGCTACAAATAACTTCTTTGGTTTTACATGGATATTGTGTTTGCATGTGAGTTTTGTGAAATGGACAGAGCAGTCTCACTTTGATTTTGACCTAGATTCCTCCTGATTATTCCAATACAGCTAGTACCTGCTTATTTCCCACTGTGAAAATAGGAGAACAACTGTTGATGCTATCTTGCTGGGACTGCATGTGCGGTAGGCGCGCATGTCCAGTTCTCTCCCCTCCTCCTCCTCCTTGGCTTCCTTAGTAATGGATAAAATAGCACTGGGGGCCAAAGAGGGTGCAAGCCTGTATTTCCCCTCCTGTGAATTTTCATTCTTTGAGGGTTTGAGTCAAAGAAAATAGGAGGAGAAATAAAGAGTAGAATTTCCATCTCCCTATTTGGCATGCAAATTTTGCACACTTACAGGGATGAACAGGGCCATAAAATAAGTCACACATCCACCTTATTCCATAATTGCTAGAAATTCAGTGTTAGTAGGTGCCAATCCTCCTTAGAGGGTCTTGTACCATCTAGTTTCTAGTCCAGTTTTCTATATTAGTTGTCAGCTCTTTAGTTTGAACAGTGTAACCCGAGGATTGAATTAAATGCCCAGGACACAGGGAGTGGCAGCTCGCTGTTTGGGATGCAGGCAGCACAAACTACCTGAAGCAGGGCAGGCAGTAGGTCCTGATCTTTTCTGTGCCGGGGGTGGTCTATGTGCTCTATGCATTCCTGGCTGCTCCTGTCTTCCCACCACGGGCAAGAGTGCTGCCTGGGGATGCTGCTCTTGTCCCTCTGCCAGAGCCATGAGACTGTGGAAATACCATCCATATTACGCTTACCTGGTAATGGCATATAACCCACTGGCCTCAATACCCCAGAGAAAATGTGCACTTCAGCCACTGTGTGGAGTTCAGGCAGATCTGCACAGTGCAATCTTACATGCACCAGCATTAATGGTGGAGCTCCCATTCAGCTTAATTGATATTCCTATAAACATCTGCAGGTTTCTGTTTCTAGTGGAGGCTACAGCTGGGTGGACTTCTTAAAGGGATGTTTTGCATATTGAGGTTGAAAGGGAAGTTGAGCCTGATACATTAACTTATCATCTGTGTCATTCTCTTGACATCATTTGGATTACTACAAGCATAAATGACAAGCAGATTAGGTGCAAGATCTTCACACACACATCCGTTTTTAGCATGTTGATCAGTGGAGATGTTACTTCTCTAAAAACCTTGTTCTAAGTCAAGTCCAGACAAGCACAAACCTGTGCATGCATATACAAGTGGAGCAAGGCCTATCCTTTACAATACATTTTTTTCCTTTAATATCTAGGCAAGATCTCTTATTATGACTTGACCATTAGGGGAAAGAAAATGGAACTTTTCTCAAACAGCTTTTCTGTTGGGGAATCTAGTGGCAGTTGCTTTGAAGCATGTGTAATTGATTATCATACATTTATTTTAAAAAGAAGACATAACAA